GACAGAAATTTAAATGTGAGATTCTGGAAACGAGATCTAAATTTAGCGGGAACGGTCGGGTCGGGAAGAAAATGATTCTAAGCGGACAGCGGGTGAACAAAGAGTGAATATATAGCGGGAGTGGGTGGGTGCGGAATAGAACCTTGCGGGAGCGGGCGGGAGTGGGACTAAAAATACAGTCCCGCGCAGACCTCTACCTCAGCTGAAGGGATCCCCCGAATTTGGTGGAGATCCGCCAGCGCGTTCATGAGATAGTGACACCAGTCAACACTTTCACTTCAGTAAAGAGGTCTCTTGTTCAGGCAGCAGCATTCAAGCGTGGTTTTATTTGACCCTAAGTGCCCTGCGAAGTGAACTTCACATGAAATTCCGCCATGATTCCAGTTCCAAGGGAATGTACACGTTACATTCAAAGGGCATTAAAGTGCGCGAGACGTGAATTTATTTTGTTATTATTTACAGAGGTATATTATGTCACACTTCACACTTCTCTAGTAAGTTTCGTCTGTGTGTGAAGACAGTAGCGCAAATCCGTGAATGAATGTTCCGAAGTGAAATAAACTTCAATGGAATAAAGTTGAATGGAATTGAATTAATTAATTAACTTCAACTTTACTGTTCAGTGCACTGATGTCAGACTCATTTTGGATAATAAAGTTTATTGTTAAATTGTTAAATGCCCTGCCTCCATTACGTATCTCTGTCACCGTGTCACGTCATTATAAGTGTTTCATCACCACATTTGAGTGATCATTGCAAAAAATGTGTTTATGTATATATATTCTGTTTATGTATATACTGTATTCGATATATAGTACCAGTCAAATGTGTGGACACACGAATGGGAAAGTGTCCAAACTTTTGACTGGTACTGTACTATAATATACACAAAAAATATCGGCCGATATATCAATATCGGCCTTTTTTTACTCCCTAATATCGGTATCGGCCCCAAAAAAACCATATCGGTCGGGCTCTGGTATGTAGTAAGTCTTGTGATTTGACGACACATTTCTAAAGCTCCTGAGGTGCTTTGAGGTGCCTGATGACTAAAACCAACTATCATGAGTCCTGTAAGGCTGCCACGAGTGAGGTGGAGCAAACAGAGAGTGG